ACACACACACACACACACACACACACACACACACACACACACACACAAACAGATACCCTGAATCTGATAGGAGACAGAGTGGGGAATAGGGTTGAACTGACTGGCGCAGGAAAAGACTTTCTGAGCAGGACACTGACCACTAAGTGGTCACTGAGACCAAAAATTAATTAAGGGGACTTCATGAAGCTAAAAAGCTGCTGAATAGCAAAGGACACCATTATTCAACAAAAATGACAGCCTACAGAATGGGAAAAAAATTATCAATTTTATGTGTGTAATGTGTGAGGGGGAGGAAGGAAAGGTGAGAGTTAGTATCTAGAAATAAAGAATTTAAAAAATGAACATCAAGGAAAAATAACTCAATTTTAAATGGGGTATAGAACTAAATAGAGTTCTAAAAGAAGAAATGCAAATGCCTAAGAAACACTTTTAAAATGTTCACCATCTTTAGCCATCAGGAAAATCCAAATTAAAATTATCTTTGAGATTTCATCTTATCCCAGTCAGGATGGCCAAGATCAATAAAACAAATGACACCTCATGCTGGTGAGGATGTGGGAAAATGGGATACTTACTACCTGCTGGTGGGAGTGCAAACTGCTGCAGCCCCATGGAAACCAGCATCTATTCAAAGGACTCTACATCTTACTACAGAGATACTTATTCATCCATGTTCACTGCTGCTCTATTTATAAAAGTCAGAAATTAGAAACAGCCCAGATGTCCATCAACTCATGAATAGATAATAGAAATGTGGTACGTTCACACAAAAGAATATTATTCAGCTGTTAGGAAATTATGAATTTTTCAAATAAATGGATGGTCCTAGAAACAGTGGTCCTGAGTGATATCAGAGCATCACACAGCCCTCATCAGAGAAGCTTCTTCTTGCAGTAGATGGGAATTAACACAGAGACACATCACAGAATGAGACTTTGGAGCACTCAGTCCTAAATGGGATGTCTTTATCAAACCCTTCCTCTCAAGGCTCCGAGACCTATAGGGAGGAGGACGCAGAAAGATTTGAAGAGTCAGAGGTGATGGATGACTTTAAATAAACAGCATTTTCAGACTCAGCAGAACTGATGTGTGAACTCAGAGGCTGTGCCGGCAAGCACAAGACCTGCACAGGTTCAGACCACACAATTCCCAGCACTGAGAAAAGGAATGAGCACAAAGTGCCACCCCTAACCAAGAAGCTTTTTGCCATTGAACCATGCTGGGAAAGGGGAATCAATTTCTTCAATGGGTGTCACGGGTACATCAGCCATGCTCTAGGGCAGGTCCCGCGCCCAGGAATAGCCCGCGCCCAGGAATAGCTGGCCAACACACACACTCCATGGTTTTTGTATGTGCACTTTTTGTTTCATTTTGATAGTTTTTGTCTTACTGTTTTTTTTTTCTTTTTCTTTCTTTTTTTTTGTCTTTTTATTTTTGATTTTTTTCTTGAAAGAGAGAGAGAGAGAACATGGAGTTGGTGGGTCAGGAGATGAGGAGGCCGATCCACAAGGAGTTGAAGTTGGGGGAGGGGAAAAGGATATAATTATACTATATTGTATGAAAGAAAAAATGTAAAAGTCCAGAAACTCACAACCTATGGCCCTTCAATTTTTGACATGGGAAAGATGAATGGAAACTGACCACCAGTATGTATGGAAGTTCTCTGGGTGGGGAGGAAAATGTTCTGCAACTAAGACTCAAGAACTTAGCTTATATGTAAAAAATTTTTTAATTAAATTATAAAAAATTTTAGCTCAGGGACAGAGTGTTTACTTAGCAAATGCACAGCCCTGGGTTTAGTCCCCAATATGAGTGTCATGGACAAGAACAAAACATTCTAAATTAAAATTGTGGTCATGGCTGTTCCAACTCTGAAATATACTAAGAGCCAGTGAACTTTAGATAAGTGGATTTTGCAATACATAAATTTCACCTAAATAGAATTGTTTTAATTACAAGGATAAAAGACTATTATGGACAACTTTGTCCCAAAAAATTGATAGTTCAGATGAAAGGAAATCCCACTTTATGTATCTGATTTTTTCTATCATTTATTTTGTTGTTGTTCCTCCTACAAATAGAATCTTGCTTTCATTATATCTTTTAACAAAGAACATTATATGTGACTATTACTGATTTCTGCATATTAATTTATAACTAGTTAATTTCCAGGATTAACTTAATTTTAATGCTACTGGCCTTGGTTGTCTCTCTTGACCAACTACACAGAGGTATCATCAACAAGTACCAATCCAAACACTTCCGTTTTCCTTTGCTTCTATTTTCTACTTCTTTTCTGCTAGTAGTGTTCCTGCCTTGTTCCTCACTCTAACAGGGATGCACTGAAACTTCTTTCTCTAAGCAAGATGCTATATGGGGAGCTACAGTGGCTTTGGTTTTGGTTTTTGTTCTCTATGGTGCTGGAAGTTGAACACTTTTCTTCTATTTGAACAAAGCATCTTGGTTGCAGGCTGTGAACTGTGAAATAAAACTTTCTACTTTTATTGGTTTCCTGACCTCTCCACCTACTGAGTGACATCATGGTCACCACCGAGATATTACTTGGAACGTCCACATTCTCATGCTAGGTCTTCACTTTGAGTTGCACCCTCCATCACTGCAATATACCAGACAAACCTCAGTAACCAGCAGGCTTTTTCTTCGCGTATTTGTTTATCTTTATTCTTTTGGTGGAGCTGGGGATTGATCCCAGAGTCTTGCACATGTGAGAAAAGCACTCTGCTACCAAGCCTCAGTCCTTTCTACTCAGCAATACTGGTTTGTTTTGCTTTGTGGAGACAGGGTTTCTCTATATTAGCCCTGACTGTCCTAGAATTTGATATGTAGACCAGGCTGTCCTCAAACTCACAAAGATCCCCCTGCCTCTGCCTCCAAGTTTAATCCTCCCTGGGATTAAAGGCATGTGTCACCACACCTGGCTTCTTCTCAGCAAAACTGTAAGGACTGTTTCCCAAAATAATTGGTTCTTCCCATGCATGCAGCACTGTGTACTAACAACACTACTCTCGTAGTTACACAGAACTCATGGCCTCACAGGTCGTTATCTCTACATGGCTGCAACATCTTCCCCAGGTCCTGTTCTTTGATGGAAGTGGCCAACCAAGCAAGTACTTGGAAAAAAGATCCTCAGTTATAGCATACACAAGCTGGTGGGGCAATCTAGATTCAGAACTTCCCTGCCTGGGAAGCTGATCAGACAACATTTCCCAGAAACCTTTTAGTCAGCTTTACCAGTCATCCTTTGGCAGCTGTTTTTTCTATAATGTACTAAATTTGATATATGGCTTGCTCTTATTAAAAACCTGAAGTGGAGGCTGAAGAGATGGCTCAGCAGGTTAGAGCACTTTGTGCTCTTGCAAAGGACCCTGTTTTGATCCCAGAACCTACATGGTGTTTCACAACCATATGCAACTCCAGATACAGGGGATCTGACACCTCTTCCGGCCTCTGGGCACCAGGCATGCCTATGGTGCACAGACATTCATGCAAGCAAAACATTCATACACATAAAATAATCTCTAAATTTTTAAAAATCTGAAGTGCTAGGGAGATGGGTCAGTGAGTAAGAGTACCACAACACCAGCCTGAGGTGCAGGTGATGAGTTTGCAGCTCTATCACCCACAAAAAAAGTCATCCATACTTTTTAAAACTTTTAAGCACCAGGTGTGGTGGTTCACTCCTGTAATGCTAACAAAAGCCTGAGAGAGGAGCTCTGTGACTTCAAGGCCAGTCTATGCTACATAGTAAGTTTTAGGCCACCCTGGGCCACAGAGTAGAACCCAATGTAAACACACAAGTGTCCATGATAAGGAAGCACGGGGAACCTCTTTAGTGTCTACAACAGTGTGATAATTTGTGAACCTTATAAAGTTGAAATCCTAATTCCCCAGAAAAACAATGATATGAAGAATGGCAGCTTTAGGCCACAGGTGTGGGGTCCTCATTCTAATGCTAAAGTCCTTTTGCAAAGCCATCTATACATAGATGAAAAACAGAGATATGGAGTTACCCTAAACAACGGTACTACTAGACACAATGGGCTAACAAAAAACACAGAACCTGAATGGGCTACCTCTTTTGGAGTAGTTAGCCAGTGGGGGTCCCACAGACACCCAATAATTACAGGCTACTGCCCGTGCTCTTGGTTTACCTTCAGAACATGATGGTTAGACCCTATTATTGAAGTATTACCACAAACTGAGTCACAGGACAAGCAGAAATCAAACTGGTGCTGACCTAGAAGCTTCTTCCTACTGGTTAGCTGTCAGTGTGCTGGAAGGAGCTATGTACACCACTGGAGTCATCATTCTTCCCGAGCGCTGCTAGCTGAGTGCTTCTGTGTGAGCTGCAGGGACCAGCCTGCCAGGACACACCTACTGATGCAATAGTGACCCAATGCTATGGGAGCAGTGAACTGTTTTTCTGATTCTAGCTAAGGCCCACTTCAAAGACTGAACCACTACTGGGGCTGAGAACCTGTGGCCAGACAGGTCCTAGGAAGAACCTGCTACTGTTACTCTGCCAGACCAGTGGTTCTCACCCTTTCTAATGCTGTGACCCTGTAATATAGTTCTTCATGTCATGGTGATCCCAAACATAAAATTATTTCATTGCTATTTCATAGCTGTAATTTTGCTACTGTTATGATTTGTAATGTAAATATCTATTATTTCCAATGGTCTTAGGCAACCCCTGTGAAAAGGTTCATTTGGCCCCCAAGGGGGTCACAACCCACAGTTGAGAATCATCGCGCTAAACAGTCATTGATGGAATTTGTGTCCTTATAAATGTCTTGGGCATCATTTGCCCAAGACAGATTCCCCATCCATTAACATGGTGGTAAATGGGGAAGGGGTTCACTACGCTTGGAAACATTAGCAAGAGAAGGCTTTAATTTAAATATCCTACTTAAGAGTCATTATGAGGGGGCTGGAGCGTTGACTCAGTTAAAAGCACTGGCCTGAGTTCATTTCCCAGCAACCATCTATAATAGGATTTGGTGCGTTCTTCTGGCAGGCAGGCATACATGCAGACAGAACACTCATACATATAACAAACAAAAACCACAAAATAAATTTTAAAAATTTAAAAATTTAATTTAATTTAAAAGAAAAAGTAATCATTATAGGCCAGGCAGTGCTGGCACATACCTTAATCCCAGCACTTGAGAGGCAAAGGCAAGAGTTTGAGGCCAGTTTGGTCTACAGAGCGAGTTTCCAGTACAGCCAGAGCTGCACAGAGAAACCCTGTCTCAAGAAACAAAAACAAAAAGAATCATTATGGAGGCTGGAGAGATGGCTCAACAGTCAGGAGAACTTGTTGGTCTTGCAAAGGACCCAGGTTCAAAGGACCCATATAGCAGCTAACAGCCATCTGTATGTAACTCTCCTTCCAGCGAACCAGACACCCTCTTCTGGCCTCTAGGGGCACTGAATGTAATTGGTGTACAGACATACAGGCAGGCAAAAAAAAAAAAAAAAAAAAATCAGTCTTAAAAAAAGAATCTTTCTTAAAGGAAGTTGGGAAGATAAGAATCAGTGTTTTATATCACAGTGTGGGTGATGTAAAGTATTAGTTAAATGCTATGTCAGTCCTGGGAATCAGACCATCACTAGCTAGCACTGCATCTTCCTTTGCACTAGGTCACCCTTAAAGTTAGTGTCACAGACAAGTTGGCATGTTTTGATATGTAACTCTGGCATTAAGCTAGAAACTGTATCTGTTCATATATTTAAACTGGTCCTGTAGAAAACCGTTTGCACTTAGCAAATCTCTTCATTTCTCGTTTACAGTGATGCAAGTTTTTCAACAACAGCCTGCTCAGTACTGGATTGGAGGCGCTGAGACAATGAGGGGGCAACAAAGTATGTGTTAAGCATGTGCACTTACCCAGGCCCAGCCTCAAATGTGAAAACACTACCAATATTTTGCACTATTATTCAGTCATTCCCATTATAAAACTTTTTTGATACAAAATCTTGTTATGTAGCTTAGGCTGAACAGCCTTGCTCTCCTCTCCCTAGCCTCCTCTGCACCACCATGCCCAGTAGAACAATTTATTTTCTGCTTATAAAGTGATTATCAGCGTGTAGGTTAAAAGCCTTGGTCTGATTTGTTTGCTATTATGTTTCAGTGCTATCTTATGTTTCATTCAAGTGCACATTCGTTTTTCAAATAATCATTTTTTATGGTGTTTCAAGACAGGGTTTCTCCTGGCTGCCTTGGAACTCACTTTGTAGACCAGGTTGGCCTCAAACTCACAAAAATTCACCTGTCTCTGCCTCCTGAGTGCTAGGATTAAAGGCGTGTGCCACCACCACCTGGCAAAATAATCTACTCTTAATAAAATGTTATCCATGTGAGATTATTATTGTATATTTTGGGATTTTGTAATCTTAAAATTCTGAGCTGAGCTGCTGGCCCTAAATGAGTTACCTTTATCATCTCCTCCAAGGCCAAGGAAATGCTCTGCTTCTGAGCACACTTCAGCTTTCTACTTTCATTCTGAGCTCCGCAGCTTAGTTTTCATCTCCTTGGTGTCTTGCTATGTGCCTGGACTGACGTTTCAAGGCAAGTGTTTTGCTTTTTGCACTGTTTTATAAATATATAATCACTTCCTCTGTTTGAGAACTTCATACACGCATATAATGTGTGTGTCTTGATCAGGCCCTCCCAGCTTCCCCTCTTCCAACTCTTCCAATGCCCCCTATATCCCCATCGCTATTCCCTCCCAGTTTTGTGTGTTCTTTTTTTGTTTTGTTTTCGAACCCACTGAGTCCACTTAGTGCTGCGCTATGTGCATGAGTATAGGGCCACCTACTGGATCATGGGCAGTCTCACAGGGTCACTTCCCTACAGAAACAAACTCTCTCCCAGAAGCCATCTACTGACAATAGCTCCTCTGCTGGGGACTGCTTCATCTTTTTATTCATGAAGAAATAATCATAATTTCCATATATGAAAATTTATATTCCTTTCCATATAAATCTTTCCATAAGATTTATCTTTGAGGAAGTATTTATCTTTCTTTTCTAGAGCATCTTTTACCTGCCTTTGGTTTTCTATTATTCCTTTCTTCATATATTTTAGTATAGATTCCATAGGCCAGCTTTGAGTTAGCTGTTGCTCTAAACCAGTTATTGATATGCAGTTTATATAAAGGAAACACTGAGCACATGGTCTAAGTAATTAGAATTTTCCTTTTAACACAGGATTGTGTGTGGAATCTTTTCATTTCCACTTCTCCGAAGCCAGAGGGCTACACAGCTCTGGAAGAACCACCATCGCCCCCCTCAGACACTCAGCAGAAGGCTTACTGAAGGGCGACCTGCTTCCCCGAATAGTCACCCTCATGCTGCCTTTCAGACTTTTCTATCAAGCTGTATGCATTCTACTCTTGTTGAAAAAGCAAGAGAAAAGGGTTTGTCCCTCAAAAGGTGTGCCTCACCCTAGGGAAATACAGTGTAGTTCTGAGACCTATACAGCCCCAAGACTCCATATTGCCTCTGGCACCCATTTCCCTTTGTAGCCATTATAAATTCACTGTGGTTTGCAGCTTCAGATTGCCTCGTTTTATAAAAGATGGAGTTTACTTTTGGCTTTTTTTATATTCCATCTTCCTTATTACTTTGAAGTGGTTCCAGAGACAAGAAAGTGAGGCTATCAAAAATACTGTGATATCCAAATTGGAAGTTCTCCATAGGAGCAAGTTTTTTTCTATCAGGTTCACTGTTACCTCTCAATTTTCAAGGCCCTATGATATATGCATATTCTCCCCTACAAATGCTAAACACATGCTATGTAACAGCTCACAAACACCTGCTAATTCCAACTCCCAGGGGATCTGATGCCCTAGTCTATCCTCTGCAGGCATCTGCATGCACATGGTACACATATGCACATACACACAAAACAAACAAAGCTTTTAAAAGAGATAGAAGACTAGAAAACAGGCACTGACAAATGTCAGGGGTGAAGAAAGGGGAGAGCCAAGAAAACAGGCTCCCTGTTACCTGGCTTAGTGTCTGTCACTCCTTCCATGAGAACCAGTCCTACTGGCCGCTGACAAGCGATGTTGCAGAAGCGGAATCGTAGTAGGAAGTCTCGGCCATACTTACGTCTCTCTATAAACCAGAAATGCCATACAGTTAAAAAAAAAAAAAAAAGGCAAAGAGTCACATGCTTAGGCCTCCTAAGTACCAGGAACCTTCTAGCATGACAACGCCGGAAATCTGACTCTGAGGACGGGGAGAATTTCCAACTTGTTCATCTCATTTAGTGGCACATGGAGGACAATGAGAAAATCAGGGGAGCTTGCTAAAAGACTTCAGGAGGTTACACTTTCTCTTGATATTGAGAGCAAGTTATCTCTTGATATTGAGAGCAAGAACATGAAGACACACCAAATCAAGAATGTGACATACAAACCAGTCATGGTGGCGCACACCTTTAATTCCAGCAATGGGGAGGCAGATGCAGGTGGATCCCTGAGTTGGAGGCCAGCTTGGTCTACATAGTGGGTTCCAGGACATCCAGGACTACACAGAGAAACCATCTCACCCCCCCACCCCCAAAAAAGAAGAATGGACATGTGAGAGCTGAAGAGAGGGCTTGATCGTTAAAAACACAAGTTACTCTTGCAGAAGACTCATGCTTGGTTCCCAGCACCCACGTGACAGCTTACAACCATCTGTTAACTCTAGTGCCATGGGGTCTGAGGCCTTCCTCTAGCCTCTGCAAGCACCAGGCACACACATGGTAGATACAGAAACATACCAGCAATAAAACACTTAAACAAACAAAAGCATATGTGTTTACCTGATTTCTTGGGATGACAGGAGGTGACATACTGACAGCAATCAGTGATGCCCAGGGAGCTGGGCCATAGTGGGGCCTGCAGCTTCCTCTGGTAAAGCTGATGAGAGAAGTCTTCCTGTCCAGAAACCTACAAGAAAGAGCAAGGTGGGGATGAGGAAGCTAAGACAGAAAAAGGAAATGATTCATGTTTGGGGGCATTTGAACAAGTACAAACACACACAATCAGACAGTGTAAACATGAAATGAGCAAGCCATGTAAATCTCAGGGGAAGGTAACAATAAGGAACTAGTTATAACATTACATTCTCACTAAAAACACGTCCATGTCCATGGGATAGGAAAGAATGAAAAGAGCAAAGAGTAAAGTCCAGGAAAACAGAACTGTATGAGCATGTGGTCCTAAGATTCACCTCAAAGATCTATGCAGTCCTCCACCAGGGAAGATGCAGGTTTATCCTGTCATCCCCAACTCTACATCTTCTAGATCAAAGTCAATTCCTTGAGTCTACTATTGGGAAACCACAGGGTAAAACCAAATGGAAATGCACCGAACACTTTACCGTATCTATGTCACCATCCTCAGTCAAAGTCATGAGCAGCCTGGGAACGGACAGAGCGTACAGGGGAAACGTTCAGCAATATCAGTTATCTGCATATCCCCAATGTGGGCAGCAAAATTCCATATATTCATTTAACAACAAATATTTAAATGCCAACTATGCGCAAGGGACTGAGATAAACTTGTGGCATAAGCCCTCTGCCATGAAAGGGCATAAACATTGTCTATAATCCAGAGTAAAAAGACTTGGAACTGAATGGCTGCGACTTGAGACAAGTTACTCAATGTTCTTTAAGTTAATACCCTTCACTAGGAAATGGGACATTAATACCATAATACAATAAAAATCTTATACTAATAATAACTACTACCAATTACTGACTATTCCTGTGAACAAAGCACTGGAAACTTTTCATATGATCATAAAGCATCTACTATTGGTCCCATTATATTCTCGGTGTACAGATGAAGCAAAGAGGGCTTGAGAAAGTTCCCTAACTTGCCCAAGATGGCAGAGCAGGAATTTGAATTCAGGGCTGTCTGGTTTCAAAACAAGTGATCTCACAGCCCATGTCTAACAGGGCCTGTCGTTTGGCAGGCACTGAACAAATTCTTCTGCCCCTGAGCTTCTTGAAGACAGCTCCTTTAGAGCAGGCTAATGCCCTGCTCTTGGCAACCAGGACATTGCCAGCACTTAAGTAACCTCATTAAAATAAAAGTCCAAGTACTCAATAATAGTTCAGTCATTTTGTGTCCCCTCTCCATTGGGCTGTGCCAAAGATTAAGCAATAAGCTGAACCAGGAGAGACCAAACAGGAACGAAGAGATTAAGTAATATACAATAAAGTCAGCATGAGCTGGTAACACTGTGAGCTATTTATGCTACCAATATTTGGCAGCTGTAAAAAAATTAGATTGGTGGCGGTGCACGCCTTTAATTCCAGCACTTGGGAGATAGAGGAGGCAGATCTCTGTAAGTTCTAGATCAGTCTGGTCTATAGAGTGAGTTCCAGGACAGGCTCCAAAGCTATAAAGAGAAACTCTGTCTCAAAAAACAAACAAACAAACAAAAAAAGATTCAAATGCAAACTGATTGAAAGAAAAAAAAAGTCCTTAACAAAAACAATACTGCACTGTGTTTATAAAACAAATATGGTAGACTTACACATCTCCTGTGGTGTGGTCACAGAACAGTACCAAAGGCTAAACCACCTGGTTACCATTCTTGAGCCCTCCACTAACTGCATGACCTAAACAAAATGCTTTAGTTCATGCACTTGTTAAAGTGGAAACAGTGATAGAAACAGTGAAAATTAGAGCTGATACATATAAAGTACTCAAAAGAGTACTTGAGGCACAGTTAAGAGCTTAACAAGTGTCAACTCTGATACTAATTCTGAGAGCATAAATACACACAAAAAAATGAGAGTGCTGCTAAACTTAGAAGAGTCATCACTCCCTCTACATGGACAGTAGGGTCATAAAGGAGTATTTTCTCTTAGTTTTTTGTTGTTGTTGTTGTTTTGTTTTTGTTTTTGAGATAGGGTTTCTCTGTAGCTTTGGAGCCTGTCCTGGAACTAGCTCTTGTAGACCAGGCTGGCCTGGCCTCAAACTCAGAGAGATATGCCTGCCTCTACCTCCCTAGTGCTGGGATTAAAGGCGTGCGCCACCACCGCCCAGCTTAATTCTTAAATAATTTATAAGAATCACTTGCAAATTAAAAGTGATAAAAACGGGAGGATGTCCAATGTGCCAGAGGTACTTATGTCCTATTAGCCTCTAGGAGTAGACTCAGTTATTCAACATCAGCAGCATAGTCCGCTGCCACAGAGGCAACACTTGATGCTGTCTCCCTCATCCATGTTCCCGCCCCACAGTGGCTGCCCCACTTCACCTTCCAGGCTGGCATCCCATTGTACTGGAGCTCTCCATCCCTGATGAAGTTGTAGAGAGGCGAATCAGGGACAGAATTCAGGTCCCCACACAAGATGATAGGGCAGTGGCTGCCATCTGACAACCTGGCCACCTTGTCCACTTCGGCCAGAAGGATGGCCATCTGGGCCAGCTTGACATCACCCCGACGTGGGTTGTAGAGGACATGGGTATTTGCCACACACAGGGGAGCCACTGAGACTTGCCCCAGACCTTCTGGGACTAGCGGCTGCAGCAGCAACACTAAGCCTACATTGTCCCGATTGAGGAGCTCTAGCCCAGGCCGGAAGTACTCCACAGGGCTGGCACAGAGCAGACGGAACCTGGTGGGCTTGTAGCACACAGCGCAGCCATCCGTTTTACACCCAGTCCTCCTCTTGTAAAAACAGGTGAAGCCTGTAAGGAAACACCACCGCAGAGATGGTCAGAGTCGGTGAATCCTGAATCCCTTCTAACCACAGCAGCAGCACAAACGGCCCGCGCCTAATGCACTGATCCTGGAGCCCCAAGAGTGAGCCCTTGCCACTTCTGGGTTCTACAGATTCCGTTACAGCTCTAACCAGAACCCTGAGGGACTCGGTAGGGAAAGAGCAAGAGAAGAGTACAAGCAACACAGAGCAGGAAGAACAGAGGCTTGTCATCAGAGGCAAAACTAGCTCCAAATAGGAGTCCTGTGACCCAGTGGGTTATCAGCAATGTGGCTTCCCCAGTCCCTGGTGCCCTGAATCTAGAGTCAGACAAATAGGAGTCCCGGCTCCATAACTTATTAGATTTGTAGTTTGGGGAGTCTGAACAAGTCACACCAATTTTTGGAACCTGTTTCTCATCTGTAAAATGGGATTAATAACATGCAGCCTCATGGAGTTCATGGAGTTGGTTACTTCAAAGATTTAAAAAACTAGAGCTCTACTTTCTCACCCACACATGAAAAGAACTAGCCCACAGGCAAGGCTGCTGGTTTGCTAAGATACAAAGAGGAGGAGAGCTCTTCAGAGAGTCTGCAGGGCTGGAGGAGGAAGGACTGGCACACACGCTGGGGAGCTGCAGTACCCATCATCCGCAGAGAGGGCTCCAGCTGTTCCCAGTAATGGTCTTCCTGGACTTCCTGAAGACACAGGATCTGGGAAATTGACAAGGGAACCAATCACTCCAAAGGGCCAGAAGCAATGTAACTCCTACTCCCTAGGAGCAGGGACCCAGAACAGATTGGGGGTCATAGTGAAACTTCCCACAAGGCTGACTTCCCAGACAGATAGTCACCACCAGCAACAACAGGTATGTTAGGCTTCCCCATCCTGTGAATTCCCGTATAAGGGTACTAGAAAGTGTACACTAGGGAATCGCCTTGGCATCTGCTTGAGTCCAGGGCAGGCAAGTTCAAACCTATCTGTCATCCATATTGCCAAAGATAATCTTGGCTTGTCTGGCACTACTGCCATCACCTGAATAGCTATGGAATTCATTCTCCCTGAGCATCAGAAAGCAGTCTGGGTTTTCTGCACCTATGCAAGATGGCGCATCTCCCTCTTCACTCACATCCGGGTCCCAGTGCTGGAACTCCTGCATGAGGTTGGCAAAGCGGTAATTCCAGTTGAGGATATCTGGATGGCAATGCAGATAGAGCTCTGAGCTCTGCTGCATCAGGTCTTGGGCCAGGATGTTATATGACATCAGCGTGAACTGGAACTGAGGGCCATCCCCTGCCTCCAGACCCTGGGCATCTGGCTGTGTGGAGAAATCCTCCCATTCTCGCCACAGGATTTCTGCAAAGGGGTCAAGAGTTCCAGAACACATGCAAGTTATCCAGAGGCCAAGCCACTGCTACCCAGAGTCACAATGTCATGCCTGAGGTTCCTTTCTCCATCGCCTCTGCCACCCATCCCTCTAAGGGCATTTTTCGGAGCTGATAGTAAGTTCCTCAGAGCTAGAGATAATCTCCGCCTGTCCATCACTGTCTCCCCTGGTTACCTAGCACTAGCATATGCTCAAGAATACTTAGGAATCTAACAAGCTCCCACCTATAATATGACCACGAACCTCTGGGGAATAATGTCTTTTGTGATTAATAGTCTCCTGGGGTTAAAGACACCTCTAGAGTAATTTTTTATTCCTGTGTGCTTTCTGTCTCTGTACCTGGGTTCTGGTTACACTATGAGGCACCTGAACAGATTTAAACCCTATTTAAGCCATAGAATTTTCTTCACATTTTCACAGACTCCCAATAAATGTAACAAAAATGAAGGCAGTCACTCTCACTGAGGCAGAGTGGAGGTCTGCGAGCTCTCTCCCCTTGCCTCCACAACACCCTGTCACACCTGCAGAACAACAATGGAGAGTAGCCCGGCTAAGACGGGCCTCAGTTCTCCCATTGCCTAACTGCAAAACACAGACAGGTTCCACTGCCTCTCTGCACTGTGACATTTTCATCTGTAGTCCTGTGAGGACAAATGTGATGACCTTTAAGACACCCCCACCCCCCACCCTCAATATCTGACCCTGCAAGAGTCTCAGAAAAACCAGAGTAGCAGCAGAACTCCCCACTACAGGACCTGCCACCATGGCTCGCTATGCAGGCTGCCAGACTCACCATGATAAGGTATTTCCATTGGGGGAGGCTGAAGCTGCTCCATGCCTTCAAAGGGCCACATGGACGTCTCTTCCTGGGGCATAGGCTCCGGTGCTATGCTCCAGGCCACCATTGCAGGGTCCTCTTCCCAGTGCTCTGCAGCCATTGCGCCCATTGGGAGGACAGCACAGTCTGCATACTGGGGCCCTGTCTGCACAGGAACAGCTGCCCACAGAGGGCCCTCAACCTCAGCCAATGGCTCCTCCCCTAGCACCTCAGGGAAAGGCTGGTCCAGGCTCTCTGCTGCCTGAAGGTCACTCAGCTGCCTGCTGGACCACTTGTCCTCCGAGGCAACATCCTGTTCTCCAGAATTATCCATCAGGAGTGCCAGACTGCTCTCAGCCAGTCCCTTATCTGCAAGAGGACCCTCACTGGCTGTTGAGAGTGCCTGGTTCCACCCTTCTTCTCGCCACTGCTGTAGCAGGCCCTCACACTCCTCTTGGTCAGGCCCCCGAGGGGCCATGGCAAAGTTACCCTCTACCTGGGGGGATGAGCTCTTCGCCAGAAGGGCATTTTTTCGACATGTAAAGAAAGCATCTAGAAAGAAAGCCAAAATATCAGGTTATTAGATAACATCATTCATGCCACAGTATTCCCCAGCTGAACAATCATCACAGCCCTCTCACTCATACTGTACTACACAGCCTTCCCATCTTACTACCTGGAGCATCGTCTTAGCAGTGCTTTCTATGTGCCAGATACTGCTAATTGCGTTACAAGTATTAACTAATTTGCATGGTAGGGATCTGGTACCTTTCAAGGCAATAATGAAAGAAGAGCCAATCCCAGGGGATAACCTAGAATATAGATAGGCACACAGAACCTCATCTCTTTTCCTGGAGGTAAACACACTGTTTAGTTTTTAGTTTATTTTATGTGTATGGGTGTTCTGTCTATGTGAATGTCTGTGTATCATGTGAGTGCCTGGTACCTACAGGGTCAGATAAGGGTGTGGGATCCCCTGGGCCTGAAGTTACGGATTGTTGTAAGCCACCATGTAGGGGCTGGGAATCATCAAACCTGGGTTCCCTAGGAAAGCAGCCAGTGCTCTTAACCACTGAGCCATTCCCCATGAATAAACGTGAAAACACTACTTTTAACATCAATTCTCGGGGTCTGAAAACCACATTACATTAGAACTAACACACAATGAAATAATGACCGAATCATAGCCTTGTAACAAAGTTAACAAAGCTGACCCTAAACAGTGCTCCTTCAGAAGGGCTTACTCTCGACCTTAAGATGAGAGCCAGAGTTGTCAAACCAGGTAACTCCCAAGAGTTTTCAAGCTCTATAGACTCCCCAGTCTAAGAAAGTATTCCAATAATAATAATAAAGTGGGCAGCCTTAAAAATCAACTTACTTTTTAACAAAATTCCTGGGCCTCTTCCCAGAGCTATTCATTCCACCCGTGACATTTTCACAGACTTCATTATCTGTTTTCCCACTCCCTAACACATCAGAGACTGTAAATTAGAAGGCACCAGCAACTGTCAGTTACAAGACAACTGTCATCTCTGCTACAGCAACCATGAATGACAGCCAACAGGCAATAAAGCAGGCAGGGAACTCTAAAATTGGAGCTTCAAGTAAGGTTGTGATGACAACAAGTAACTCCCTCCCCCCCATACGTGCTCACATGCCAGAGCACTTATTCACGTCTCAGAACAAATGACATGCACACATTGGTGGCCCACAACCATTAGACACCCACTTTATTGGCAGTTTTACAGAGGGATGAAAAACCGCAAAATGGTGAAATTCAAACGTCCATGTGAAATATATGAATTTATGTCCCTCTAAATAAGTGGTAAATCTGGGCCAGCAAGATGTCTCAGCAAGTAAAGGCACTTGCCAAAAAGGGTGAAGGAAGCAAATCCACAAAGCTGTCCTCTGACTTCCACAAACGCCATGGCAAGCCCCACCACATACATACATTTTGTGCAAACACAAACACACAGAATAATAAATAAATCTTTTAAAAATTAAGTCAGTGGCCAGGCAGTGGTGGCACACACCCTTAATCCCAGTACTTGGGAGGCAGAGGCAAGCAGATCTCTGTGAGTTTGAGGCCAGCCTGGTCTACAAGAGCGAGTTCCAGGACAGCCAGGGCTGTTACACAGAGAAACCCTGTCTCGAAAAAACCAAACCAAAACAAAACAAAATTAAATCAGTATTTTTCAACTAAGTGAGAGAGGCAGATTTTGCCCTTAGGGAACAGCAATGTCTAGAACCACCATGAGACCGTAACTGTGACACCAAGCATCCTACAACACAATAAATGGTCTACTCTAACTGTCAAGAACGCTCTCAAGCCACAGGCTAGTTGCTGGGATTCAGTTAGGAACTTGCTAAATATCTGTCCCTTGAAACACATGCCAGAGGAGCTTTGGTTGATGGGCATAAAGCCCCTCGCTTTCCAATTTAGCAGACAATAATTGGTGTGATTGTTTTTCAAGGGGAGAATGCTTCTTAAACAAATCTTTTTTAAAAATACACAAAATTAATATACCTGCCACTTTATAATGTGTAGATGGAAGGCTCCTCTAAGACCCCTAGAATTCTGCTGAGTAGGAAAAATATGGACTGATATTAAGACTACTATTGTGGACACCGGATAGCCACATAATTAAAGGAATATGCTGGGTTCTCTGTAAACAGTGACTTCTGTAGGAATTTCCATTCCTGACAAGTACGGACACCCAAAACCTTCCTGAATTCTCTGGAAACCCATGATCCATGTGTTGGCATAAGTTACAGTGAGCCCCCTGCTCTGCTGAAACTAGTAGTCTAGTGGAGACAGTGTTTTAAAAATTTTAATATGTGTTATAAAAATATAGTATCCATTGCCAACAAAGGGCAGTTCCACAGAGAAAAGACACAGAACGCAGTTGGGCCTCTTATTTCTAAGAAAACCCTTCTTGATACTGCTCCCTAAGCTACAGGAAAAAATCTGGGAGTTCTGAGGGACCTCAAAGAAAAACTGGGGTTGCATGAAAGCCTCCCGTGGACTTCAAAAGCAGAGAGAAGGCAGACTGTGCAGAAGTAACAACCACGAAGATATCCAACCTATCACAGCTCTTTCTAAACACTTGCTCCAAAGCCGAGGTTTAAAAGCCTCTGCCTTCTGAGCATAAGCTGTTTTCTCAACCAGACTTGAACTGGGAGAGGACAGCAGATGACAGACCGCAGTGAGAAGCCTATGTGACATGAGCCCACCCACCTAAGGGCACACCCCTCCCGGATTCTACCCGCCGAGAAGTCCGGTCCTCGCCTGTCCGAGGTTGCCACCGCTCCCGACCCCCAGGAGTGTCTCAGCCAGCCCCACGACCACCGCCACTGCCAAGGAGGGCGACCCCTTCCCCAGCCCTGGGTCCACGTTAACCGTGGCCCGACGTCATCAGACCACAGCGTGAGGAGAGGCTGCCCACGAGAGTCGCCGGTCAGCCCGAGCCTCGTGGGGCCAGGACGGCCCGCGGCCCGGGGTCAAGGGCCACCTCACACCTTGCCACCAGCCGAAGACTGCGGTTGTGGGGCCCGGCGCTCCACCCCGGGGTCCGCGGACCCCCACAGGGCGCAGCTCAGCTCCCGCCCATCAGGACGCGAAGCCGGTACCTGAGAGGGAGCGGAAGAGGCGCGAGGCCGGCAGCAGCAGGTAACATAGGCATGACGCGATCATGGCCGGCAGCCTGCCCACGCCGCCGCCCCTCCACACTGCCGCACACCCGTCTCCCTCTGTTCGGTTCCGCCCCGCACCACCCGGGCTCCTCCCCCCACGCCGCCAAGGCTCTGCCTCGAGCCGCCCGGGCTCCGCCCCCACGCTGCCCAGGCTCTGCCTCGAGCCGCCCAGGCTCCGCCCCCACGCTGCCTAGGCTAAGCCTCGAGCCGCCCTGGGCTCCGCCCCCACGCTGCCCGGGCTTTGCCTCAGGCCGCCCCAGGCTCCTCCCCTCCACACAGCCCAGGCCCCGCCCCAGGTCATCGCTTCAACAACAACTTTATTGGGAGTAAGGGGGCGGGGGAGCGGTTGCGAGGAGAGGGGCTTACATGGCAACGGAACAGCCGGGCCTGAAGCCCGTTACTCTGTATGCTAACTTTAAAAGTTCATTTAAATAAATAAATATAAATAATAATGTTAAGGGGCTTGTTGGAGGCTCTAAGGTATCTTTAAGGGTCCACTGTTTTATCCTGACTTCTGCCACTATCTATGTGTGGAACACCGCATGCCTTTTTTAACCCTTTCCTCATCTGTAGTCTGAAAAACTGGACATTTCACTAAGTCATCTGACTATACCTTCTGTAACCAGCTCTTCTGAGCCAAGAAGGCAGGGAACAATTCTTCCTCATTCCCACACCTCTTCCCGACTTTACTGTCCAGCTCAGATTCTAGGTCACAAATGGAATCCCTCCCTTGCTTTGGGCACATAAGATTTTTACTTCCCCCACCTGTTCCAAATGGGTTATGGGGAGAAGCTGTGTCCTGTTGGGAGGGAGATATGGAGGGAGGGAAGACGCCACAAGAGCACGGACCAAGACTGAACGGCGGGTGGGTAGTGTGTTTAACACAAGGTAAAAATGATCTGGCCCAACTGGAATGAAAGAAGGTCTCCTCAACACCAGGAACCAAGTATGGCTACAGGTGTGTTCACCCTGCATCTCTATTGTGCCTAATACTAGGTCAGTGTGGTAGTTTAAATAAGGTGGTCCTCATCAGCCTCCAGCATCTGAATAGCTGATACCCAGCTGGTGGCTGTTTGGGGAAGGTTAGGATGTGTGGCCTTGCTGGAGGCAATATGTCATCGCTGGAGGCTGGCCCTGAGGTCTCTAAAGACTCAATGCTATTTTCAGTTTGTTCTCTTGGCTGCTTGCAGCTTGAGATGGGAGCCATCAGCTCCCATTCTACTGCATGCCCGCTGCCTGCTGTCTCTGTTCTGATGTGGACTCTTGTCTCTCTGGAACTGTACACTTCAAATAAATCCTCCCTTCTGTAAAATGTCTCGGTCAAGGTGTTTTGTCACAGTAACAGGACACTGAAGCTGGGCATAGCAGGCCACTCTCTAGACAGAGGCAGGTGGATCTCTGAGTTCTAGGCTAGCCAGAGCTACAAAGACCTTGTCTCGAACTAAATAAGACAGCCAGTCCCATAGAAGGGACTAATGACTGGATAAAGTGTGTGTCGCTGAAACGAAGGCCAGTCCTTCCATCAAGTCTGTGCTAACCAAAGACCTCTCTGAACTGCTCTTTCCCTGTCTATTACACGGTCTTCTGCCTCAGCCGTGACCTAAAGAAGAAAGGACCACATTATACACCCAGTTCCAGTACCCAGTGTCTGAGCTGTGCCATTTCCAATTTGTGGCTGGAGCTTTGGCTGTTCGGGGAAGCCCTCTGGGGAATCACCAGAGCCTGGACCAGCTGGATACATCATAACACTGAAGGGCTGAAAGGAAGAAGAAGGAGAGAGTCAGTGATGTGGCCTTCCTGAGATTCCCACCATGTCATTTGCTTGCAACAGCAACAGCAGCAGCAACGGCGGCAGCAGCAGCAACAGCAGCAGCAGCAGCAGCAACACTCACCCCTTTACCTGAGATGCACTCCAGCAATCTGAAGGTTGCGGAGCCATTCATCAGTCAGCACACAACCATTAGAACTACCTAAGGAACCCCAAGGTCCAGCCCATTCCTTCAACATCCCTTAAATAAACTCTCCACTTTCTCCCGAGATCTATCTGCACGCCCAAGTTTCGATTCAGACCAAAAATCAAGGGCTATGCTTTTTGCGAAGCAACGGTTCTTCCATCTACTTGAAAAATGTCTTTAAAGTACAGACAGTCTAGGCCCTTAGACACTCATCAGGTTGTTTTAAGATAGGAAGCTTTGGGGGCTGGAGAGATAGATGACTCAGAGGTTAAGAGCACTGGCTGCTCTTCCAGAGAACCTGGATTCAATTCCCAGCAACCACATGGTGGCTCATAACCATCTGTAATGAAATCTGGCGCCCTCTTCTGGCCTGCAGGGATACATGCAGGCAGAACACTGTGTACATAATAAAGCTAATTAATTAAACAAATAAACAAACAAAGCTTCTGCTGAAAGAACTATCCTCACCTGGGCTGCCAGGACACAACTGTGGGCACAGTAATGCCAGCTAGTTGATGCCACACCCTTTCAGAAGATTTCCCTGGAGCAGTGAAGCTAGGCTTCCCTCTTCGTTTCCTGACTTATAATTGGTTACTTCATTTAGAAGGTGAAGGGTGATGGGAGAGTCACACAAGCTTTGGATTTTGATCCCTGGAGCTCAGACCCTTGTTCTGCTGTTTCCTCCCCATGAAGCCTCTGGGGTTTCCCATCCTCTTGGAGCCTCCGTTTCCTCACCATGCTGAGCCAGAGTTGGTTCTCAATGTTTTTTTCTTCTTTTCTTTTTCTTCTTCATTTTCTCAAATAGGGTCTCATCCCAGAAAGACTTTGAACTTGTTCCATGTATCCAAGGATGACTTTGAACTTTGGCTCCTCCTGCCTCTGTCTCCCGAGTGTTGGGATTACAGATTTGCACCCCCACTGCGGGTATGCTTTGGTGGGAATCAAACCTGGGGTTTTGTGAATGCTAAGGGTCTATTGGGTTTTTAAACTCGGAAAAAAAGTCATCCACAACTGTGAATGTTGGGTCTTCTTCCATAATCCCTGGCTAAAATACAGTTGCTTCTCTCCAGACTGTAATACTGGATTACCAAATGAGCCAGTAACTATAGATTCCATATATGATTTAAATACAAATTTCCCATCTGGGCTGATAATGCTTCCTCAAAGAGCCATAGACCCAAGAAAAACCCCAACACCAGACAGACATAAGCAGCTATCTTTTCTGTTGTTGGTCGGGATTGTTCAAGAGACTCTCCCAACTGCTGTTGTCCTTGGGTTTCCCCCCAAGATGTGGAAGGTAAGTCCCTCATGCTGATGACACCGTGCACTCAGATACGGGACCCAGAGGACCTGAGCTGGATCTGCCCTGAAAACCTCTTTTCTGAGAATTAGCTTTCATGGAACCAGAAGGCACCATGCAAGCTTCCAAGAAGGGACGTGACCACAGCCTATATATGTGTGTTCCGCACAGCCAATGACACCCGTGATCCACAGTTCCTCAGCCGAAGGAAAATTACAAGCGTCATGTTCACTGTGTGCAGCTTCATCTCGAGAGAAATAATCTGTCATTCACCTCAGCAGTGGGAACCATGGCAATGAGAGGAGCACGTGCCTTCTCCATTAGCATGGTTTCAAGGTGCATAAACCTGCCCCTCAGTGGAAGAGAAGGATTTTGCAATAATTCAACTTGGTACATGTGGGAGTTGGCTGCCTATAACCTTTCTGTCACGCTTCTGCCAATTACCTGCAGGAATGTAGAAGTTACTGACCAAGGCCCCAAGAGTGCTTCCCGACCCACCCAAAAAAAAAAAATGTGAACCACATGGGTAATTTAATTTTTTATCTTAGTGAGCCAAAGAGATAGGGCAGTAGTTAAGAGCAGTGCCCACTTATCCAGAGAATATGCCAGCTACATGGCAGCTCACAACTGTCTATAACTCCAGTTCCAGGGAATCCAATGCCTTCTTCCAACCTCTGTAGACACCTGGCATGCATGTAATGCACACCCATACATGGAAATAAAACATCTGTAAACATAAAATAATAACAATAGTGATTTTTTAAATTTATACTAGAGAGAACTAGAGAGGCAACTCAGCAGTTAAGAGTATTGGCTGCTCTTCCAGAGGATTAGGATTCAATTCCCAGCACCTACATAGTGGCTCACAACCATCTATCTGTAACATCCTTCTTCGGGCCTCTGCAGGCACCAGACATACAAATGGTACACAGACATAGATTCCACTGAGGCATCCATACACATAAAATAAAACAAAAGGGAAAATGTACACTAGAGACTTGGGGTGTAACTTGGTAATAAAGTGTTTGCCTAGTATGTGGTGGTGCACACCTTTAATCCCAGCACGCAAGAGGCAGAGACAGGCACATCTCTGAGTTTGAGGCCAGCCTGGTCGTTTACACAGCGAGTTCCAAGACAGCCAAGACTACACAGAGAAACCCTGTCTCAAATAACCAAGAAAACAAAAACAAAAACAACAACAAAGAACCTGTGTTCAATCCCAAGCATCACACAAAGGAAATGAAAAACATAAGTAAATAAAGCAAGTGAAATTAGTTTTAATAGTCTTTAATTCAACCCTTTAGATAAAAATAGTCTTTAATTCAACCCTTTAAATTTTAAAAAAAGCCTACAGTTTATATTTTTAAATAAGGGGCTAATACTTATTTTTGTACTTTGAAATCTAGTATGTGCATTAGCTAGAATCACATCTCAATTTGAAGCAGCAACATTCCAAGGGCCAAAGAGCGACAATGAGTTAGTTAGTGGCTTCTGTATTGAATCTGCAACGATCTATCAAATGAGCTCAGCCTCTCTGAGTTTGAGGCCAGCCTGATCTATGAAGCAGGTTCCAGGACAGCCAGGACTGCACAGAGAAACCGTGTCTCAGAAAAACAAACAAACAAACAAACAAGCGAAACAAAGCACCTTGCTTCTCTGAGCCTCGTGTTCCCTCCAGCATCTTGGAATTAATGACTAGATGTCCTCAAAATGATCCAGACTAACATTAGTACATTTGGTCAATCTCTCAGCCATGACACCAGGTCTCCATTAGCCATGTCTCAAGTTCAGTGTCCAACAGCTTCCCATGTCTGCCCTCTGACTTTCTACCCTGCCCAGTTCCTTGGCTCTTTGGAGACCGGCTCCCCATCAGCTTTCAAGAAGTGGAACCACCAAGATAAACTCCTCCATACTATCACAACAGTGTGTGAGACATGACCCGGAGCCACCTCTCCCGGGTTGCCTTGCCTCCCAACACTGTGGCTGGCCCTTTCACCAAGCTCAGGACCTGTGTCCCTCTCCCAGAGATGGCGCCCCCATTCCTTTTCCCACTGAGACCTCACATCAGTTCTTAGGCACATTCGGTCGTTCAGTCGTTCCTACATTGGGACACTTTCGTCTCCTGGCTATCCCTCTGCATTCTCTGCCGTCTGTACTTCTTTACCTCGCGTTGACACACATTTCTCTGACATATATATTCCATCACTCCACTGAGCCTTCTTCCCTAACGTTCCCTCCGACTTCCCTGTTGAGGACGTTGGGGAGCTGTAGAAAGGACACATCCCAGGCCTTATTGGTTCCTGGTTATGATGTAATTGCACATGCTTTCCCAGCCTGGTTTCTGCAATGCTCGTTTTCCTTCTGTCTCTGTGGCCATTCTATCCTCCTGCTTTCGCTGCGTCCCTCTGAGTACCCTTCTTTCGCTGCTACTGTGCCCTGGACTTCGCTTTCAGCCTCTTTTCTCCTACCCTACAGTCTCTCCTTCGAGAAATTTCTACCACTTTAATAGCTTCAAACACCATTCATAAATGACAGCTCTCACACTAGTGGAAGGTTTTTGTGGAGCAGAGGATTCAGTTACTCTTTCATTCATTCATTCATTCATTCATTCATTCATTCTTTCTTTCTTTCTTTCATCTTTGTGACAGGGTCTCATATATCCAAGGCTGGCATCGAACTCACTGTGTAAGCCAAGATGACCTTCAACTTCAGGATCCTCTACCTCCACTTCCTAAGTGCTGAGATTACTGGAAGAAGCCACCACAGCCAGCTTCATACATTGCTGGGATTCAAACCCAGAGACTCATAATATACATGCCGACCAATTGAGTTCTACCAATTGAACATGCATGACTCTCATGTCTTTTTCCCCAAGTTCTTTTCCTGGCTCATGAACCAATCCTTCTGCCTACAGGCCTCTTCAATGGATGTCCCAGGGATAGATAACTCACAGGCTCAATGTACTGAAAGTTCACTCTTTACCTCCGATCTGTCATCTTGTCCCACAAACCCCACTGCTCCAGTTTCTTTTGTCTGAATAGCAATCATTTATTGAGTTACCCTGTCTCCTACAGTGTGTCTCTTCTCTTTCGCTTTTACTCTTGAGCTCACCGGAGTCCAAGTGGCTTGATCTCCTTTGCATCTAATCAATCCACCTCATCCTTCATCCACTCCTAACTGGTGCTTTAATCCATGTTGCATAGTGCACTCAGAGCACACTTCCCACTCTCCATTCTGCAAGACCCACTAGGTCATTCTGCTGCTTAAAAATCTTCCTGCAAAGCTGCGTTGATGTCAGGATGTAAGTCTGATGGCTTGGTACAGCATGGGGGACTCCTCACCTTCCCAGCTCCTTTCTCAGAATGCCCTTCCACAATGGGACTCACACCCCAGCCTTCACGTGCTGAGATGGCTTCGTCACTACTTTAGCCAGCATTAATTAAATATTCCTCCCCAGCCTCATCCACTTACCTGGCTGCTGTCTAGTGGATCTTTGATTCCCAGCCTAGGCATCCTTTCCTCAGCATCTCAGATCTCCACCACTCACACAGCACACAATCCTGCTCCTAGTACAGACCTGCGGTCCCTCCCGTTTGCCCCTGTTTACTCTTCTACCCTGGACTCCATTCAGTCACTGTATTCGTCTGTCTGTACCCTTCAGCAGACTGCATACTCCATGAGGTCCCCTCCCATCCCCATCACCCTGCCCAGTGTCAGGGCACTCCGTAGCTGAATGTGGCTTGGATATGAAATGTTCCCTTATGTTCCTTTGTTTGAAATGTGTTCCCAGCTGGTGTTGCTAGTCTGGAAGGTTGCAGTGCCTACAGGAGGTGGGACCTAACTGCAGGAAGTCTGGCATCAGAGGTTGGCCGTAGAGGTTTTATGATCAGCCCCTATCTCTTGTCCTCTCTCTGCTTCCTGAGTACAGGCACGTGATCGGCCTCCTCTCACTCCTGACACATGCTACCCCTGCCGTAACGAACCGTACCTCTTCTTGAACTGTGTGAGCCAAATAAACCCATTCTTAAGTTGTCATTTTTGTCACACCAATGAGATAAGTAATCGATTCAACTCCCCCCATATGTGAAATTTTATCATTTAAAACTATCATTAAAAAAAATCCTAAGGCTAGGCTTAGTGAGCAAACATAATGACTTGAGTTTGGATCCCCAACACCCACATAAAAAGCCCAGTGTATCAGTGCATCCCTGTAATCCCGACACTGTTAGGTGAAGACAGGAGGATCCTGGGGGTGGGGGTCACTGGCCAGTCAGTGAGCTCTAAGTTCCGTGAGAGACCCTGTATCCAAAATAAATAAATGGTGGGAATGGGCTGGAGAGCTGGTTCAGTGGTTGAGAGCATGCACTGCTCTTACAGAGGACTTGGTTCCCAGCACCCACATCAGGAGCCTCATAGCTATCTGTAAATCCAGCTCCAGAAGCTCTGGTGCTCTCTTGTGTCCTTCAAAGGCACTGCATGCACATGTACAAATCCACACACTGACACACACACATATACACATTTAAAAAAAAAAAAAAGATGGAAAGCAATGGAGCATTAACCTCTGGTCACACACACACACACACACACACACACACACACACACACATACACACACACGTAGCATCAACAGCAACAATAAAGACCATGCAGACACGATTGCCTACGATTATAATTCCAGTTCTTAGGAGGATGAAACATGGCAAACACCATGAGTTCAAAGCAAACCTGTGTTACGTAGCAAGACCCTGTATTAAAATAAATTTTTGGCATAATATCAGACATTATTATAACTAAGACAACAACTTTTATTCCTTTCTTTTTTATTTTTTATTTTATTTTATTTTTTTGAGACAGGGTTTCTCTGTAGTTTTTGGTGCCTGTCCTGGAACTAGCTCTTGTAGACCAGGCTGGCCTCGAACTCACAGAGATCCGCCTGCCTCTGCCTCCCAAGTGCTGGGATTAAAGGTGTGTGCCACCACTGCCCGGCTATTCCTTTCTTAGGCTATATTTCCTCCTAATGTGACTTCTGCTTACTTCCTTCAGTTAATCCAGTATTCTCAACCTGTGGGTCGACAACCTCTAGGGGTTGCATATCAGATATCCTGCATATCAAATATTTACATTATGATTCATAACCACAGAAAAATTATAGTTATAAAGTAGCAACAAAGGTAATTTTACGGTTGAAGGTCACCACGACATGAGGAACTGGATCAAAGGGTCACAGCGTTGGGGAGGTTGAGATCCAGAGCTCAAACCCTTCGTCTCTGTTCTCTTTCCTCTAAGAAACCAGGCCTGCCTTCCTGGATCATCTTATCTAATTGCCCTCAAATTCTCTTTCCTAAGGAACCAGATGAGACGTAGTTTGGGTTTTCTAGCATTCTGAAAGCAACCGTAGGCCATGCCTAAAAGTGGGCTGAAATAACTGTGTGTCAACAAAACTTATAAAAACAAGCCATGGTCCAAATTTAGCTCGTGAACTACGTAGTTCACAAATCCTGAACTACATCACTTGAACACAAATCTTTCTCAGCCAAGAACTATGGTTGCCCCAGAGAGAAACCACCTTGTGGGGTTCTGACCCAGAAGTCATTGCAGAGGCAGCATGGGCTCTGAAGCCAGACAGAGCCCACTTACATCCCCACTCTGTCAGCTACTTGCTTTGGGACTTTGGACCAGTTACTTAATCCTTCCTTCTGTCAGTCTCCGCATCTGCAAAATGGGAATAACAGAGGCGCTGACGGCTGAAACAATAGACGCGCTGGAGCAGCTGGAATACATTAAAACATAGAAAGTCCATGGAGCAGAGCGTGGTGATCATCGGGGCTATAGAAATGACAGCGCGTAGGCCACAACGGACTCCCTCTGCTTTAAACCTCACCGGTGAGCAGTGAGCAGGAATCCTGGTAGTGAAGGAGGAAATTGGGGAGTGTCTCTGTGATTAAGAGTACTGGGATGCCTGATATTCTTGGTTGTCAACTTGCCTGCATCTGGAATTCCCTACACATCTCTCACAGGTATACCCGGGGACTGTGTTTTCAGTACCTGCGATGGCTATTCCAGATGTAGTAAAGTTGACAACCAAGAATATCCATCACAAGCACAAGCTGGAAAAGCAAGACTACCTGAACTCTAACCCCTGGCACCTACATGAAAACCAAGCATGGCCATGCATGCCTATAACCCCAATGTTGGGAGGCTGGTGGTCCTGGGAGCAAGTTTGCCAGTCAATCTATCCTCAAACAAAACAAGCCATCAAAGCTTCAGATTCAGTGAAAGATTCCACTAAAACAAACAACAAGAATACTAGTGGGGGATGGAAAGATTGCTCAGTAGTTAAGAGCACTGGCTACTCTTTCAGAGGACCCATGTTCCATTTCTAGCCCTAATAGAACATCAATCTGTAACTCCAGTTCCAAGATGCCTGCCCTACCCAGTCATGCAAGCAACACATAGACCTATATGCAGACAAAACATCCATAATACATAAAATAAAATAAAATAAAATAAAATAAAATGGAGGGCAATAGAGTAAGACTCCTGAAGCCCCTAGCCCCTGCCCTGTCCTCTGCATGCATATGTGAGGGGAGAAAAAGAGAGAGAGAGAGAGAGAGAGAGAGAGAGACAGAGACAGAGACAGAGACAGAGACAGAGACAGAGAGAGAAGAAAAGAGAAGGTTATCCTTATCTTTTTGGTTTGGTTTGTTTTGGTGTTTGGGTTTGGGTTTTGGAAACAGGGTTTCTTTGTAGCTTTGGAGCCTGTCCTGGAACTAGCTCTGTAGACCAGGCTGGCCTTGAACTCAAGAGAGATCCACCTGTTTCTGCCTCCCGAGTACTAGGTTTAAAGGCGTGCGCCACCACAGTCTGGCCCTCATCTTTTTAAAACCAGCTGTGTGTGTGTGTGTGTGTGTGAGAGAGAGAGAGAGAGAGAGAGAGAGAGAGAGAGAGAGAGAGAGAGAGAAGGCTAGTGCCACAGCACACACGTAGAAATCAAAGGACAGCTTCCAGGATTCCAGTCTCTCCTCCCACTATGTGGGTCCCAGGGATCTAACTTAGCCCCATCAGGCTTGGTGGCAAGAGCTTTTAACCACTGAGTCATTTCATAGCCCAATTATCACCCTGTTCATACTTGACATCCAAACCTTGCCCCAGAAAATGGTCCTCTTTGATGTATTCCAAAATCATAGCAGCCTGCTCTATGAATTACCTGCAGCATCAGCTCATCTCCCAGAAGCCCTCGGGCCCGCCTGCGAGCACTGTAGGGGACGGTCTCACAAAGTGGCCTTCTAAAGCACGGTGGTTCAATTGACGGCACAATGCAGCACCCTGAGGTTTGGTTTGGTTTGAAACTAGAGTGCAAGGTGGCCTTGACCTTGTGATCCTACCAGCTCTACTTCCTGGGTATTGGGATCACAGGCAAGGGCCACCAGGCCTGGCTGGTTATGACACAAAACCAGGGCACAACTTCAACAATGAAGGAAAATGATGGGAACGCTTGAATGGGGAGAGTCCTTTTAGGGGCTGTGCTGAGACCATTGAGCAGGCGCGAACGACCGTCTGCCTCATGCGCAAAGGTCAGCTCAAAAGTCTGACGACCTGAGTTCAGTCCCCAGAATCTAGGGAAAGGTGCAGATGTGGTGGAGAACATCTGTAACCCCAGCACTCCTGTGGTGAGCTGAGGAGACGGGAGAATTGGTCTGTCTCATGGACCAGCCATCTGGAGCACAACACAGTGTTCAACACAGAAACGAGAATCCCGGCCTCCCAAACAAGATGGAAGAAGAGAACCGACGAGAAGTCCTCTGGCCTACACATACACACCCGTGACTATCATTTTCCCAAGCCAGATTTCTAGATCTTCACCTAGTCAATGGCAAGGGGGACTGTCACCAATCTTCCCCCATGTCTTCCAGCCACTGACCTGACCGTTGATGTTCTGAAGCCTTTACCAAAGAGCAGCAGACAAGCCCTCAGGTTCTCTTGACACCACGCAGCAAGCGAACTTCAGCTCCACATGGGAACACAGCTGAGCACGGGAATCCCGGCTGAGCGTGGGAATGCTGGCCTCCAGGTAAACAGACTGGGGGTCCGGCTCGACCAATGGTGTGGCAGCAGCAAGCCGGAGTGATAGAACGCAAGCTTGTGGGGTTTTGCTTTCGTCCTGCTGCTCCAAGGGTGAGGATGCTCTCCCAAGGGTGCAAGCCAAAAAGAAGAACGGGGCAGAAGAAAACCGACTTCACCCATCACTGATATACTTTGTACCTGAAGCGCAGCCACCTTGGGAGAAAAACATGGTGGCGGCGCTTCACGGTCACCTGACTAAGAGCCTTGGGTTTGGTGCTGACTCAGAGGGAAATAGGCTGTTACTCAGAGGTCCCCCCACAACACCCGAGCTCTCACAGCCAAGTCTGGGCTTGGACCCAGCGAACATATGAGAAAAGATGACCACTAGAGCCACCCAAAGGGCGGGAGGCCTGCTGTTGCCGGGTCCACCCTCGAGGATCACAATGACCACATGAGATCATGGAATGTTGAGGTTAAAAGGAAAGTGACTCTTACATCACAAAGTCATAAGTGGGTGGCCATCCTTTTTGACTGCAATCTGGGGGAATAGAGCTCTACCATTGTCCCCAATGAGCCCCAGGCCTAGCTACCTCCCCCAGACAGAGTTGGAGGCAAATCCATGCAGGCCGGATTCCCACCAAAGCTGGCTCTCCTCCAGGCTTGCTGGGATGAAAAACTAGCTACAGGTTCCCTTGGGATTCGCCCCGGAGAGGGCAGTGCACATAGTTTGAAACAGAACTGAATGGACAGGTGTGGATCTTAGGGAAGCAGCCACCAGGGGACAAGAAGCTGTCACCAGCCCCCAAGAGAGTCCTGGCAGCATGGACTATTTTGATGATGAGCCTCTTGAGTCTGAGACCAAAGGTGAAAAGCCCCCCCATCTCTCTCCCCATCTCTAAGTGATCAGGTAGACCCCCCCCCCAAATCCCTCCTTCTCCCTGAGTCTCTGCAATGGAGATGGTGTGTTACGTTAGCGGCAGGGTTAAAAACCACTCGAATACAGTGAGTTGTGGTGCTGGACTTGGCTCTTAAGAGCTCTAGCCAATGTCAGTTTTCATTTTGTGGACTGGTTGACATCACACTGACAGTTAGAAGCCAGCCATATTGGGAACATTCACACCACATGAATTGACCAACGATGGTTAGTTTGCCTGCATCCCCCTGGTTGAGTGGAGTTCTAAAACTTGTTTGAGGGGCTGGAGAGATGGATCAGCCCTAGAGAACTTTAGTTCCATTCCCTGGAATTCAATAACCTGTAAGTCAACTCTAGGGTACTCAGCGCCGTCTTCTGGCCCCCATAAGTAACTGCAAGCGCACATTTCCACACTCCTCCCAGCATACGTTTCTTTCTCCCTTCCTTTTCTTCCCTTCCTTCCTTCCTTTCCTTCCTTTCTTTCATTGTCTGAATTATAAAGAAACCAAGACTCAGAAACATGCCCTTTCTTTCAGAGCACAGGGTAGCAGTCTGGGCAGCTCAGCTGCTGAGTGGTCTCTAACCACCCCGTCACTGTTACTCAAGTTAACTCGTGTGGAAACTTGTCACAGAGGTCTGAGGATAAACACTGGGACTTAGCTCTGTTGGGGAAAAAAAAAAAAAACGAAGACACACACCTACTTGGGATCATTAAGAAGTCCGCCATCCTAGAACCTAAATCATGAAGGTGGGGGAGGGGCACGCAATGCTCAACTCACTCAAAGTAGATGGATGGGTAGTCATGTATGAAATCCTCAAAGAATAAAAATAAATAAAACCGACAGGTAAGGGAGAGAGAGAGAGAGAGCAGGCTGGCCCTGTCTGCCAGGCCTTTGGGAAGCACCCGTGTGACTTCTTGAACCCCTAAGGCCTGCTGGGGTCAGTGGATTCATCTCTGAGTCTTGGGTGTGGCTTTCAGGAGCCCAGTGAAGAAGCCACATTCAGGAAGTGCAGGCACCAGTGTGAAGGAGGCGCTGCTACTCTCAGCAGAGCCTCGTCCCGTGAAGACAAGAGTGCTTAGCTCATAGCAATGGACTTCAGCTCCGGAGACATCTTCAAGCCTCTCCTTCATAGGCCTAGAAACAGTGCTGGACGTGAGCGAAGGGAAGCGAGACCAGCTTCCTGGAAATCTGACTGTCTCCTCTGCTCCCTGAAGCCTACCCCTGCCTGTTTCCTTGGCCTCTGATCCCAGTCCTCACCTGTCTTGCCCTTCACCTACCTCCCAGCGGCACAGTGTGTGACCATGAAGTACTTTGGCACACATCCTTTTACCATAACGAGTAACTAACTCAACAACAGACCCCAAAATCCTTCCATGCAAATCATAAGGGAGGAGTGTGACCAGGGACCCCACCAAAAGCAGGCAGATCAGCGAAGGGGACTGGAGCTGCCCGTTGACCAGGGACACGGGACTCCATCAATTCAACCATATGGACATCTTTTGTTTTGCTTTGTTTTGTTTTTGTTTTTTTGAGACAGGGTTTCTCTGTAGCTTTGGAACCTTCCTGGAACTCATTCTATAGACCAGGCTGGCCTCGAACTCACAGAGATCCTCCTGTCTCCTCCTCCCGAATGCTGAGATTAAAGGCAAGCGCCACCACCGTCCGGCTCCATATGGAGATCTTATAGAAGGGGGTCTCCTCGTCAGGGCTGCTATGTGAGCTGTGGGAGAAAGGCTGTAAGCAGGACCTGGGAGGCAGAGGAGGGAGGCAGAGACTAAGGGGAGTCGGTGGTAGGTGTCACCCAATGGACCGCAGGTTTAATTCCTGGAATGGGATGGGATTTTCTTCCAGATGAGACAGAAACTGCGCCAACACTGCAGAACAGCGATGACACCCTGTACTGCGAAGCTGAAGCCCCTGCCAGTGTTGAGAAAGAGAAAACCACCAGGGAGAACTCAGAAACCGACTTGGAAATTGAAGGTGAGGTAATAGCTGAATAAAGGTAGTTGGCCAACCAACTTCCTCAGAAACTGGAGAGATCTGGTCCCACCAGAGTGTTCTTCTCTGTCCTATTGAAAGACGGGGGTGGGAAGGCTTATGCTATGTTCTAGACTACCTGCTCCTCCTAGTTGGCTAGGGACCACACAGGACCTTCTGAGCAGGTTGTTGTTACAATCTAAAGCAACACACAGAAGTTTCTGGTCTTTAAATCTCTCCCATGTGGCTGTGTGTGTGTGTGTGTGTGTGTGTGTGTGTGTGTACAAGTCCAGTTGCTTTCACAGAGACCGGAGGCATCAGATAACCCCCTGGAGTTGAAGTTACAGACAGTTGCAGGTCTTTTGACATGGGTTCTAGCAGCTGAATTCAGGTCTTCTGGAAGAGCAGTGTGTGCTTTTAACCTCTGAGCTACCGCTCCAACCCCACCTTACTCTACTTCACCCCACCCCATGTGACTCTTACATAATTTTTTCATAGTCCAAGAAGGTGGACTTTATTACATCTTTTCTAAAAAGGAAACCGTGACTTAAAGATTGTGAGAGTCACCGAAAGCCACTAAGAGCTGGCCAGGGTTCCACAAGCAGCTGCCACGTTTGACCTGTCTTTGCTATTCAGTGTTCCCTGCAGTACCCTTGAGCGACTCTGCTACCCTAACCATGTGACTTTCCGGTCACCTGAGAGCTCTCGTTTCTCCTGCTTCAGAGTCCCAAGCTTTGTCACAACAAATCAAACATTCCTGGTTACCCCAGCTGATGGAGCCGCAGCAGACACTGTTCTCGCAAACAGCACCGTCAGCCTCCCTCTCTTCCCATTATCCCCAAGAAGAGGGGTACCAAGAAGGATTATCTGTGCATCTGTGAAGTAAGGGGAGAATGATACTGGTCCCACTGGACGGGAGCAGCCTTCAGCTTCCTAGCTTGGTCCAGTCTGAGACACCCTTCCTCTCTGTGCCTTTTGTTTTATTGAGGCAAGGTTTCATGTAGTCCGGACAGACCTTGAATTCCCTACATCGCCAAGGATGACTTTGACCTCTTGAACTCCCAGCCCCAAGTGCTGAGATTCCGTCTGTGAATCCTTATCCCCACCCTCTCGTGTGTTCTTGAACGTGGGTGGCACTCAGTGATTCTCAGAACCCATCAATTGGGGGAGGGCAAAGTGACCTTTACCCCCACTGTCAGCTTAGAAGACCATCCTACCAGTCAGCATGTAAATTCCCTCTTCTACTCAGACCCTGCCCCGCGGCTCCCAGTCATCCTGTGGTTCCCTTTCTTCTGTACTTTAAGGCTATTGTTAATTCTGGTTCTGACTTTCTTTCTTTCTTTCTTTCTTTCTTTCTTTCTTTTTTTTTTTTTTTTTGGAGACAGAGTTTCTCTGTGTAGCCTTGGCTATCCTGGAACTCACTCTGTATCTATAGACCAGACTGGCCTTGCACACACAGAGATCCACCTGCCTCTGCCTCCCAAGTGCTGGGATTAAAGGCGTGCGCCATCACAGCCCAGCTGTTAATTCTGCCTCCAGCACCTCATGTCACCTATCTGGAGGACGTGACAAAGAGCAACACTGGATGTTTTGTCTGAGGCTCCTAGCTCCATCTCGTTCTCCCTCAGTCAGGAAGGCTTGATGCCCACTGACCATGGACCAGGCTGGTCTGAAGTCTAGGGAACAAAGAATCCAAGGGCTTGCAATAGAGAGATGGGATTCTCGTTCTGTTAGTACTGATCATCTGCTTGGATCTGTGTCTACATTTGTCATTGGGGACACAGAGTCTAACGTGGGAAAGTCCACCAGGATAGGAAAGCCCACAAAGGTGCAAGCTTGCTTGTTTTTGACTGATTTGAGCTAATTTGTTGTCTCGAGGCTGTTACCAGGGTTGTTCAGGTCAGGGCCCTGGTTGTTGATTACCCCAGCCCTGATAGCCTTAACTGGGTGCAGCCACCCATCCGCAATAGGTCAATTAAAGACACAACTAAGAGTGAAAAGCAAAAGAGAGAGAGAGAGAGAGAGAGAGAGAGAGAGAGACTTACTCCACGTACCCTCATTATGAAGAGGAAGAAATAAAGACACCCAGTGACCTCCCCCTGCCAAGTCCATCTTCAGGATCCTGGCATACGGTTTGGGTTTAAATAGGGGGCAAGAGGTGTGACTAGCTGGGCAATCCAAGGCCAGTGTGGTCCAGGTCGCCACCAATGTCTCTGCTCCTCTGCCCTTCAGGGTGATCTGACTGTCTGTCAGAACTGTGTGAACTCTCTGTCCAGGAGACAAGCTCCTACTCCAGCTAGCACCAGGCTTTAACCTTTTCCTGCTTCCTGCATGAGACACCTGGGAAATCCTAATTTCTGGGGGTTCATTGTTTAACTAATCTAATGGGATACAAGTGAGTCTTTAAAAAGGGGGGGCTGGTTTTTTGTTTAAGCAAGTGCTTCTCCAAATCTTTGGCAAAGCTTGATTCATGGCTCACAATTTTTTCTGGTGCTGGGAAATCAAGCCAAGGACTCACATAACTGTAACCTGGTAACTTCGCTCAACTATAAAGCAGCAGCACCGGTCACAGCTTATACTTTAAGAAGACTGGCTGGGGCTGGAGAGATGGCTTAGTAATGAAGAGTGCTGCTCTTCCAGAGGACCTGAGTTTAATTCCCAGCAACCACGTGGTGGCTCTCTACCATCTCCAACTCTGATACAAGGGGATCCAACACTCTCTCCTGGTCTCTATGGACGACAGCAAATGACAAAATGGTATCTGAAGAGCTGGAGAGGCCAATGGTTGCTGCATCCTGAAGACCTGGGTTCAGCCTTCAGAACCCACACAGAAGAGCTGACCTGGGGCTCTGCTCTTCTGCTGCCAGCACTGGGGCAGCAGAGACAGACACCCACTGGCCAGGCAGGTTAGCCTACTCAGAAAGTCCTAGGACAGGAGAAACCATCTCAAAAGCAAGGTGAAGATGCCTGAAGAATGTCCCTTGAGGTTGACTTCTAGCAATTGTGTGCACACACACACACACACACACACACACACACACACAAAGTATGCATCTAAACATTTCAGTCATTGATGGAAATTGTTTTCTAATCCTAAGCCAAAACTGATTGAATAACTCTTTTGTGAAACCTGAGTCATTGTTGTTTTTCCGTCCATCACAGAGGCTGTGCTTTAATCTGCTACTGTTTCAGCCTGTAATTGGGGCCCTGCAGTTACCAGCCTACTTCTCCGGCAGCGGCCGAGCTGCTCAGGCCGAGGACTGGTGGGAATTCCTTTCCCACAGGCACTGGCTCTGTCACTGCCACCTAATATAGCTTTTAATTAAATCTCTATCGTTCTATTTATCAATAAGACTCGGGAGTCAGAGGCTGCGGTGACAACCGGCTAGCTCAGAGAGGTTGCAGAGCAACTAACTGACCTCGCATTGCTGGCATCTCCAAGAGAGAGTGTCCTTCCACTCCCTGCCCCCCCCACGAAAAAAACATGCTACACTAAGTCCCTTCCTACTACTTCCTGTGTGTCTCTCTATCATCTTCCAGACACCCTCTGACTCTATGACTACTTTCTGCCAACAAGTTGCTAACTTGGCTTTCTGACTCAAGGTTAATTCTATTTAATTAACACAAACGCAAACTCAGTGTGATTGAATATACCACACCAAGTCAACAACTCAAACAGAAATTTTAAAAATCAAACATTTTAGTCAGGTGTGTCGTCACGCGCCTTTAATCACAGTACCTATGAGGCCGAGTCAGCTGGATCTCTGGGTACTCAAGGCCAGTCTACTCTATATAGCAAATTTCAGGACAGACAGAGCAGTGCATAAAAAGACCCTGTCTCAAAACTAAATTAAACAATTCAAATATTTTTGTATTGGACCACAACACAATTGTACTATAATCCAATCCAAAATTGTACTGATTTTATATTTACGTGCTAGGGTTGAGAAATACGAAAAGTCTCTGGTTTTCACAGTTAAACCACGTGCGTTGTTTGCTTATTTGTTTTGGTTTTGGTTTGGTTTTGATTTTTGATCTTTCAAGACAGGGTTTCTTCATGCCCCGGCTGTTCTGGAACTAGCTCTATAGCTCCAGAACTCAGAGACATGCCTGCCTCTGTCACTCCAGTGCTGGGATTAAAGGCGTGCATCACCACTACCTGGATAAAACACAGTTTTACAAGAGGGGGAGTCTTTGTATGTTCAGTAAAAAGCACTGCAGTTCCTAATATGCAAGAACCAGGAGTTGCAGCCCAGGTGCTTTGGCAGCTGTGGTGTTCTGCTGTGTAAGAGCGTGTCAAGTGCTAAGTGTACATGCTGTGTTCAGAATGGAGCCTGGGGTGATGATGCAAGATGCCACACGAACAAGCACAGCCAGAAACATGTTGGATTCATCACATGTGTGATTGTAAGCTAATTTGTGGTCATCACACCTTGAGAAACCTTTTACTGTGGCCAGTTTCTTTCAAATGTGTCCCCAACATTTGGTTACACTCTCCTGTATACCCAGCAGCACCCACAGCTGGAGAAGTTGGGTTCTAGAGCACATATTCACAAAGGCAGATCCCAGGAAAGTCTAGGCAGAAGGGCACCTCCCCTGGGGAGGTCAGGGAGCTAAGGCAGTGTGGAAGAGAAACTTTACTTCATTCTGACTTTCTCTACAGACACAGAGAAATTCCTCACCATCGGACAGAAGGAACTGTACCTGGAGGCCTGCAAACTCGTGGGCGTAGTACCCGCCTCCTACTTCATCCAGAACATGGAGGAGTCCTGCATGAACCTCAACCATTATGGGCTGGGCCCCAAGGGTACCAAGGCCATTGCTATAACTCTGGTGGTGAGCATGCTGGACAAAGGAACACATCAAACCTGATGGTAGAGGATTAACAGGGTGACTGGTTTGACATTCAGAGGGCACCCTCTTTGGTGTCTAAAGAGCAACTTACCCTGGTCCTTTCTCAGTCATTGGTCATTGTTTTTCCTGTTAGTTCATGGAAGAGGTTGTACTTTGAAGACTGTGGCCTTTCCTAGTTGGGAAGCAAGACACTAGTTAGGAAGCAAGACACAAGTTGGGAAGCAAGACATCGGCCTGTATGGGTAGATCCAGGCCCAAGAGTTACTGCAGTTATAAAATGTAGGCCCGGGTTTTCATTCCAAAGCTGACCTTGGCCATATGTGGAGCCACTCCTGAGCCACTCCATTCAATGTCTGCCTTTCACATTATTATTTTTAGAAATCATATTGCACTGGGTAGTGGTGGTGCACGCCTTTAATGCGACTCCAGGCAGAGTCGGGCGGATCTCTGTGAGTTTGAGACCAGCCTTGTCTACAAGAGCTAGTTCTAGGACAGGCCCAAAGCTACAGAGAAACCCTGTCTTGAAAAACCATTTTTTAAAAAAAGAAATCATATTGCAGAGTAAATCACATTTTTCCACATGAAAGACATTACCTCTTGGCTTATCATGACCAAACAAGAACTTGACCTTGAGGTCATCACAGATTTATATAATTAATTACGTATAAAACTGGCTACATCACAGGAAATTTGACACCTGTATGTCAGTGCCTCCCTGGCTGCTCACTTAGGAGGGTGAAGAGAAAGTTTGATTTCAAAGAAATTCAGCAAAGTAAATAGGCAAGTGTTCTTAGGAGGGGACATTTAAAAATAAGCAATAATAGTAAGTTGGCTCAATTGATAAAGTGTCTGTCACATGGGCATGCAGAGCTCAGTTCAGGTACCCAGCACTCATGTAAAAGCTAGGCTTGGTGGTGTACGTTTGTAACCCTGGTCCGGGAGGGACAGAGACCTGAGGTTCCCTGGATCTCACTGCACGCCCCCTGTCTAGTCAATCAGTGAGCTCTGGATTCTGTGAGAGAGACTCTCAAGAATAAGATGAAGAGGGCTGGATGATGGTAGCGCACACCTTTAGTTCCAGCACTTGGGAGGCAGAAGAATGTGGATCTCTGTGAGTTCAATATCACCCTGGTCTATCAACTAAGTTCCAACCCAGTCAGGGATATAGAGTGAGACCCTGTCTCAAAAAAAAAAAAAAAAGTGGAAGCAATAGAGAACATCATGACATCGACCTCTGGCTTTCTCATGCTGTGCACACAACATGCACATACACACAAATACACATAAACTTTTTTAATTAGTAATGATGCTGGATATGGCATCATAACACCAGATATGTTGGCACATATCAGTAATCCAAGCACTTTGGTAGCTGAGGCAGGATCAGGACTAGGAGTTAAAACTCAATTTGGCCCCATAGCAAGTTCCAAGCAAGCATGGGGACTGTAAGAGACCCCTGCCTCAAAATCAAATAAAATGAGTAGCATTTCCACCATCCACAGAAAGAACAAAAAACCAAAAGGGACCAAGAAGGGATCCTTAACACATCCTATCTATAAAGGATCTGAAGAGAGAAAGAAGTCCCAAGCCCATAAGGGGCAGACGGTGGGGCAGCGGGGGCAGCCAGTTGAACCTATGTGACAGGTGCCAAGAGGGTAGAGGACAATGGTTCAGCGATGCAGCCTAAGAGGATGACGGACAAGGAAGGTAACTCTGACTTTGATGTCTACCGAAACTCATGGCGACTTTCAAAGTCTTGCGATATTTCAAATTTATTCATTGGGGGACAGCACCACCGTCAAAAGCTGCTGGGATCTGCAGAAGCCATTGCTCTAGTGAGGTCCAAAGGGATGTCACATCCTCTGTACCGCCGCCCTCATCCTCCCCACGGATCCACTAGGAACCTCCATCCTTCAGGTTCCTAGTCTGCGTCTCCAGGCCCTTGCCGTCCATCCTTATCCGCTGCTATAATACCTGAGACTTAGCGACGTCATAAAAGAGGTTTGTTTAGCTAACTGGGCTGAAGGGCCGGCATTAGCTCTGCCCAGGTAATGACCTCCTGGCATAACAACAGAGGGAATGAGCATGAGAGGAAGAGATGAAATGATAAGACAGGAAGGCCAGGGCCAGGCAGTGATGGCGCACACCTTTGATCCCAGCACTCAGGAGGCAGAGGCAGGCGGATCTCTGTGAGTTCGAGGTCAGCCTGGTCTACAAGAGTTAATTCCAGGACAGGTTTCAAAGATACACAGAGACACAGAGAAACCCTGCCTCAAAAAAAAAAAAAAAATCAAAAAACCCAGGAAGGCTAGAAGAGGCAAGTACGGGAAGTCAGTCACCACCTTCCACTGAACCCCACTTCCTTTTTTGAGATTTATTTATCCTGTTAATTATGTGTCTATGGAGGGGTGGGGAGCATGTGAGCGCATATGCCAGCAGAGAAGCCCGATGCCCTTGGAGCTGCAACCACAGGCAGCTGCAAGCCACCCACTGTAGGTACTGAGAGTCGAACTCAGGTCCTCTGCAAAAGAAGTATGTGTGCCTAACTACCAAGCCAGCTCTCAATCCCCTGGCCCCACTTCTTAAAGTGCTCACTAATGTGTGTGTGTGTGTGTGTGTGTGTGTGTGTGTGTGTGTGTGTGTGT